CTGTGAGAACCTGAAATCTCACCAAGATTTAAATTATTTGTATTGGTTCATCATTGTGTACAGTTCTGTAATTAAAATTAGGTAGTTGATCAATCATTTATTGAAGCGCGTATTTAGTTATTTTTATTTATTTAGTGTGGGTTGATGTCAGAAGCATGTAAAAGCTGAGAATTTTTAATTTTTAATTTGGGGTCTCGGGTTCGATTCCCGGCGGTGCCCGAATTTATAACTTGTATTGGGCAAGGCTGTGGTCTAGGCAACACGGAGTTTTCCTCCGTGGTATCCCAACAATTACTCCATTCACACACAGAAGAAGGCAATGGCAAACCACTTCTGGATCATCTGCCAAGAACGTATATGAACAGGTCCCAGTCCGAGAAAAGGATGGAAGGATCCTGTTCATATGGACCTGTCGTCAGACAGAACACTAAATAAATAATAACATTCTGACGCTTTGGGCTAATCTGCGGTGCTGTTTGTGAGATTTTATTTTCGTTATATGAAACTATGAAACGCTTTAAAAGATTTGAAGCCGACAGAATGCAATTTCATCTCCTGCGTTCTGTGTGGAAACACTCAGCTAAAATGTCAGGGTGTCTACAGCAAGCTTATCCACGGAGCAAACCGCGTTTTCCCAAGTTAATTTTCATAAATCATAGTGGCTGTCTCTACGCCGTCCCGAATCCAAAACGTTATTCCATGTCTTGTTGTATTCATTTCTCATAGATGCCAGCTATTTTAAATTTTCGGAGATCACATTATTTTAATGTTTACAGTATAGTTGACCTTCATTAATACAAATCCATTGATATCTGAGTGTAAGAAATTAAGTATTCTGTCGGTCCTAATACGAAATTGGTATTTAATTATGTACAAGATGTTATAATTTTAATTAAACCAGATTGTGATTCACCATTTGTCAGTTTATTCGACAGGATTTTACAGTCACTATATAAATATATTCCAGTGTTCACTACAAGTTTTAAAATTGATGGATATCGCCATAATATTAAAGAAAGACTTGTGTCTACTTCAGTACTCAAGACAGTTAAATCAATTATTTATATCAAACGCTTACGAAATGGAGCGAAAACTTTTATGGAAGGTTTCTGCAATGCGACGGTGTGGATTGGATTCATCTGACTCAGGTTAGGTTCGGGTGGCGTGTTCTTGTAGACGTGGTAATAAAACTTGGGGTTCTGTTAGAATTGGGGGATTTTTTTGTCCGGCTTAGAGACAGTTTAGTTCTCAAGAACAGGCTTTGCCCCGCTAAGTATGTAAAAACTAAGTTCCCGACCCCCTTTTTGTTCTAGAGAGAAGTGAAAATACTAAGCTGGAAGTTTGAAATATCAAATGTATTCCTGAGGTTAATTAATCATGTATTCGCCCATTCGCCTCTGTAGGATGGCGTGTCGACCTCAAAGTACGCTGATCCCGTAGTCTACGCTTGTACTGTGTGTGGTCTAACTAAGAGGATTATTGCCGCGATGATTTCAGCAGTTTCTGTTCAAAATTTCACTGCACACTGTAAAAAAAACAGCTTTAGTCCGATTACAGCGACGCGTAAGTACGTGCTTTTTCTTTAACGTCCGAGGTGGACTTAACACACAGGTGAATTTAAAAGCTTTTCATCCGGCATTGTTCTTGACAGAACTATAAAAATAATCACTTTTTTCTCAGTATTATTTAACATGTTCTACGATTCGAAGTCAAGGGATATCAGTATAGAATTTGAGTCAAAAATCTTAAAAGAAAGAAACAATTTGGGAGACCTAGGATTAGATGGAAGGATAATACTAAAATGGATCTTAAATTAATTTGGAAGGGAATTTGCGACAATAAACCTTTTGGTTTTCATAAAATGTGGGGAATTTGTTGACCATCATTTTATTAAGACGGTTTCTGTTCTGTGGATTTCTCTTTTTTTCGTAGGAGATTAAATTAAAATTTATTTAAATAAATTTCTTTATCATATTTGCGGTTTCTTAATTTATCCATTTCACCGACTTCTATATTCCTGTGAATGTATTTGAGAAGAATATGAGTCATTAATTATTTTCCTAAACTTCTGTATCTGAGGCCGCTGTGTTCCCAGGAGGACAGTGTTACTAATTGCATTGGAACTTTACATCAATTTATCTGGCAGCAACTACTCTGGTAGGGGCGCTATCATTAGGAAGCCATGTCTCACGGTTCACTTAATTAGCTTCCCAATTATTCGTTGGAGAATTTTATCTGTATTCGCCAAAGAAGAAAAAGAAGGAAGATTTCCAATATTACGTGTTTCTCCCGGGATCGATTAAGTTTATACGGACGGAATACAGTTATTATTTCGTCATTTTTAATTTCAAAGTTTTATAATCCTTGGTTTGTTAAATATTCCTTTATCGACTTGGTAATATTGCAATAGAATTCTTGTTTTATGCATTCCATTCGTTTAAATTGCTTTATAAATTAATTCTCTCGTAGACTGCACATTCATGTCTGACTAGAAGTAGACGTAAGTATGCAGTTTGACAAGTAAAATAATTAAAGATAGGTGTTTTTCAACAGGGACGGAGAAAATTAAATTTGGTTTGCACACTTCATAAATTTATATGAAAGTGTTTCTTCTCATTGGAAAGAATAAACGTGTTTTTTTTCCCCCCTTTAAATTGAATCATTGTGAAAAGATTGTAAATCATAAGCGAATAACTCGTTGAATGTTAATGGAACGAAATTTTGTTTTAATTTGAAATGAAGTTTCCGTAAACGTTGAGATGATGGTCTCGCCTCAGAGATGGCATTTGTTTCGTTAACCACAGCGAAATAATGTAAATGATAAAATCTGAAAGTCTGTAATGAAACGAAATGAGATTCAAGGGCTTACGTGACGCGCTTATTGTGTGATCAAAATACGCTGACTTCACGGAGATTAACCTCCTCATATGTCAGACAAGTTACGACTTTAGCGACATCTGAACGTATAAGCTCTGGTCCAGAGTACAAAGGGCTCTGGATAGAATTAGGGCGAATGTTTTACTGCGTAGCCCCAAATAAAAGCTGTTTGAATTTAAAACGCAATCCTAATTACAAAAAAATATTTTAAAGCTTCGATGACATGTGTATTACAAGACAAACGAGTTTCTGACAAAAATTCGAATAAAAATCATTGCCTAGCGATCTAGACAGCAGTGACATTTAAAATTTAAGCTGAAGCAAATGCAAATAAGCATTTTTAACATTCATTTCGAGTCCATGGCCATTAATAACGTTCGTTTACGAATATCCAAAAATAACGTAACTTCACAATTTTGATAGCACTGAAAAGGTTTTGTAGTTTCTTTCATTTTATTTTTAGTGTAAATTGAATGTCACGTCGTTTTTAGTGGATCCAAACATTCCTTGTTTTTAAAGTCACTCGTAAGCAATGAGTTTCTATAGATGGGGAAAAAAAAAACAACTGAGAAGACGTACATATGAAATAACGAGAGGCTTCGAAGTTTCAAATCCCCCCCTGGGATACCCTCAACCCACCGACCACCGTCCCAATTACTTTTTGCTTGCTACCAACTCTATTAACGAAGTTTGTTAACAACTTTAAAGAATTTTTGATTGCATTTATGCCCCCGGTGACAGAATAACACATGGTAGGAAAAAAAATTCTTTAATTGGCAATTTAACTACTCCATTTTAATATAATGAGATAAATTTATTTTAACTTTTCTATGGAAATGTATATTCTACTCAGAGAACTTCGGTTTCAGTTATGTTTTGCCTCTCCAACTGACTAAATCTTCAGAATTTCGATTTAATTTTGTGTAAAGCAATTAGAAGGAGGCAGTGTTTGTTCTCCAGTCCATAATAAATTTTTTAGCATTCTGATAAACTTAAAAATTCCTTTCGGCCTTAATTAACGGGTAATTTGCTTTACGGATTTGTAATCAAGAAGTTCTTAGCAATAATGACTTATAATAAAAGTTTAAATCGTTTACGTACACACACTCAGAAAAAAAATCTATGACTGAAGACGTAAACCAGCGTGAGATTGTCCAGTGCTTGAAATTAAATTGAAAAATCTGTTTGCCCCGAGTTAATAAGACGCTAATTCCAAGTTTCCCTCATCATAAATACAAGGCTATTACTTTAAATAATATCGCTACAACTTTTGTTCTTATCCTTTTAAAGGAACTCCAGATAATGTGGTAATATAATTGACAAACAACATCTGTTTATGAGTATTTATTAACTCCGAAATAATTTAATTTATTTATATTAATGCTGTTTAAGGAAATAATCGCTGCTTATTCTGAGTTTTTTTAGAAACCCATCAATGCAGCTTGCCGACAAAATTCATAGTTATTGAGTGGCACATATAGTTACCATTGGGCAATTAAGGATCAGTCAGGAGACTGCGTGGTCCCCGGACTAGTCCTAAGCAATGTGACGAATGAAAGAAAACTCCTCTCGACCATCTGACCGAGATATCCAGGATTCGATATTACTATCGATTCCGTTGGCTGTGCTAAATCGAGAATCGAACAGCAAATCGTTTTGAATCGAAGAGTTAGTACTGTCATCTTCTTTAAGTCTAGAAATTAGTGGAAAATGGAGTTAGAAAAATTAGATTGGGTGTGTAGTGTAAGAAGCGTCTTAGTCTTTACTCTAAAAACTCTTTTTTTTAATATTTCAGGTATGATTAGTCCAAATTCTATATTTTCTGAATGCTATTTAAATCGATTATCGATATATACGACGTCTTAAAGCGAGACAAAACAAAAGAAGACTACCCCTACCCCTTCCCCTTCCTCTTCACGTACGACAGCGCCCTGAAACGAGCGTAAGTCTTTGTGTTCGAGAATGTTCCCGAACTCTCAGCCGAACTAAGACGAAGTTACCATGCATGATGCAATGTTCAGTGTTTGTAAGCGTTGTCTGACAACTTTTAGGTGGTTTATAATCGTGAAATAATATTTCATGGACGTGTGTTATGACATATAAAACGTTTGTAATTTCGGTAAAATGCAGTGTGACACGAATGTGAGCCGTGATGACCGAAGACTACTTCCTGTTTTTCTAACCTCAAATACTGACAACATGTGGGCCGGACTCAGGTATTGTGCAAAAGTCTAGCCTATGTTTCATAGACACATACAATTGCTTTCTCATGTACCCTGGTAACAAGAATGTAATTCTGCCGTTAGTTCTAAACCAAAGCATGTATCTCTTTATGTTATTTATATTGTTAAACAATAAATTAATATCATCATTATATACCAGCAGCCGGTGTGCCCCATTCGATTTAAATGAACGTGGCGTATTTGTGAACAGAATGTTGCATTCCTTCTCGAACATTCTTCTCGTGGAAATGTTTTTCTGTTGCTCGTGAACATTTAGCATCCTGATAAGGAAGTACTGAATAAAAAATAGTAGACCGACTGGTAACAATTTCCGGTGGATGCTTATATTTGAGAAATCGTGCACATGCGCACTACGTCTATTCTGTAACTCGTTCCTAACCAATAAATCTATATAAAAAAAGTCGCTTGTAATGCTGTATTAATTAGGGTTATGATTTAAATTGAACGTTCTGAACACGATAGGTTATGATTTGTTTTCCTGTAAACTACACGCGTATGTTGTTAGTTAAATATGCAACTTTGAGTTTTGCCTATGGATATCGGATTTTCACGTTCTTAATTCTGTGACTTGATACATTTTGTTAAGCTGGATTTATGGATGTGATGTTGAGTGGTTTGGATGTTTTATTGGGATTTAGCAGTACTTGTTATTTTTGCAGTATCCGTGTGTTGGTACAGCTCAATTCTGCTTGCCCAATTTGACTTTAAAATTGTCGAAATACAATAGCTAAACAATGGCTGCAAGTGATTTCCTTTTTGAAAGTAAACAACGATTTATGAATTTGTGGACAGGAGCTGCAGATGTCGACTGTTGTGACTTTTTGGCTGCCTAGACCGTTTAACGTATTTCTGAACGCGTCTTTTTTTAACTTCTGTGCCAGATTTGACGCATTGTTAAAAATACATTACACATTTAATTAAGTGATGATTCAGCTTTATTATCGTTATATTACAGTAAATCTCAGACTCATTCGCCTGTTATTCGTTTTAATGGTCATATTTATCACCGATATGAAATTATTTGCCTTTAGAAGCAAAATCCTTTAGTGTATCACTCAGAATAATACACGGGCGTGTAACAATTACCATTCCTGTTCAACTACAGGGTGGGTAAGAAGTAAGTTTACATTAAATAATCGCTATGCATTGGAAATATAGAGGTTATAACCATCTCAATGCCTACTTACTTACCACACACTCTGTATAATCTTTCTTCGTGTTATATACGGTTACGAAACTTGGTCTTACGTCCAAAGGGAACACTTTAAAGTGTTTTTTTGAGGATGAAGATGGAAAAAAAATAGTTTTCAGTTTTAGTCGCAAAATCTGAAAGCGACCATTTCTGATAAAGTAAGTGCGAGGATAATATTAAAATTTATCGTAATTAAACTGGGTTGGACTGTGATATATGAGTTTCTCATGGCGATTAAGATAACGATGTTCATTCCAATGATGCAGTGTAGACTCATAGGTAGATACCAACGTTTCGAATATACTGTCTCCTTCTTCAAGGCTAAAGACTGCAACTCAAGGTGTAGTCGAGTGGCTGGCTCGTGTGAGGAATATATTTTTTTTGAAGTAACCAATAACCATGCTGTAAATTCTGTTGCTGTCTGGACCAGACCTATAGGTCGTCAGCTCGAATCCTTTTTCCATCTTCAGATGTGGTCATTCTCCCCTTGAGCACGGAAGATATACCGGGTCCCCCCCTTTCCTCCCTCCCCCCATATCGACTGTGATGCTTGGCTGCGTGTTGAATTTATGGATCATGGTTTGATATTGAGTAGCTATGATGCGTGGGGGAGGGGGCCCCCTGGTCTCCACAATATGCACACATTTCGCTTGCGTAGCACAAAACGTAGAGCCAAACTTCCAGGAACTTTCTGGAGGGAGAAAGACGTATCACACTGCCTAATCGAAGTTTTCCTAAATGAAATATGTTTAAAATATGAAAAATATTTGCGAAGTATCACGAGAATAATCTTGCTGTCTGACTAAAGAGGTTTATATCCGGGTTACTGTCTTTTTATGCTGTTATCAGAGGTCGGGGCGGTCTGAATAAGTAAAAAAAAATCTGGACTTTGTCTCCCTGAAGATGGAAGTATAAATAACTCCCGAAACAGTTTTAGAACGCTTATATCATGGATAAGGTAATGATAACTCTCTCGCACCATCGTGTTTTATTATTTGATCTTATAATGGCGCTGATTAACGTTTGAATATTAACAAGGACAGAAATTCTCTATAAAGTTAGATCTAAACCCGTTCTTGTGTGGATGTGAAAGTTTGAAACTCAGTCTTTCGACCATGGAGAATAGCACAAGTTACGTCTTATAAACGTTGAACGCCCGAGAAGACGATGGTAAGATACATTTTAATATTATCAAAATTTTTATGTGTAAATTTGCAAGTGTTTTAAAACAGGGGGGTCTCAGGAAGACATTTGAAATAAGTGAATTGTACAGGCCACCTAGCATAGCGAGGATAGTGAAATATGGAAGGCTCCGATGGGCTGGACGTGTGGCACGAATGGGTGGGAGACAAAGGGTGCATACAGAATTTTGATGGGGAATCCTGGAAAACGACCCTTGGATAGATCAAGAAGGAGATGGGAGGATAATATCAAGATGGATCTTAGGGAGGCGGGCTGTGAGGTTGGAAAATGGATCGAGTTGGCTCTGGATCGTGGTTTTGGCAAAAAAAAAGAGAAGAGATTAGGCAGTTTGGAGCCCGTGAGTTCTGACTTTACTAGAAGTAAATTTATACTGGTAACCTTACTTCAGGCTTCACAACCTGTTGTAGCAAAGAACGGCAGATAGCTGGCACATACCAACTTCATCTGCAAGTTTTATTTTACTGACCGAGCTGAATTATGGCGACGAGCGAATTAAACCTGGCTGCATTCTGACTTGGATCTGTGGTTTGTTCCCATCATAACGCGATAAATTGTCTCCCGCGTACAGTTGTCAGGAGAATAAAGCGAGGACTATTCCCTTCCTTTAAGTGGATTGCTCTTATGATTTATTCCTCAACCCATAAGAGAATAAATTTTAAGGCTGTACGTATTCCAAGACATTCTACAACCGCATATGGCCGACATTTAAAAAAAAAAAATTGTAAAATTTGTCTTACTGAAACTTATCTTATGACTGATAATGTTCAAATTATTAAAATCAAACGTTATATTGATTATGATGATCTTATAATATGTATTAGCGCTGATGCGCACAAATTGGTTACCGGGTTGTGATTTAAAATGATAAAATTATTCATTTGATAAAAGTCTTACGTAACATGTCTTGGCATCGGCTGTCAATGATGAGTCATTATTATTTTTTACCAGAACCCGGATTACAATTTATGAAAAGCCTTGTTATTGACAATATTCTACAAACTTTGCATCCAGACTGATTTTTTCCCTCCAAGGGCCGCATCAGACCAGTGGGCAATACTTTACGCACCCCTGGACTCTGTTGATACATATAATTATTCTTTAAATTAAATTTTATAAAGACGGTATTACCCAAAACCTACCACCATTACTCAGCTTGGTCAAAATGCTTGTAAGTAAATATAAAACTCGATAGATCGCTTTATGCATTAAAGCTAATATGGTCTGGCAATTGTAAAATAAGGCGAGGGAAGTAGAGAGGACGGGGGAGAATTTTATATTATAGAATGTGTTTATTTCATCTGATTTTCGTAAATGGATCTGATTTTATGACGCAATTTTATATTAATTTGTGTTAATTGAAATTTATCAGTCATGACACTGACTGCTGTGGAGGATCGATCCAGAGGCTTTGCTTATCGCTAGTCAATTCTTGTCACAGTTATTGCTAAAGTTGTTTTAGTGACATTGACATGAAACAGGGGCGTCAATTATCGTCGTGTTCCAGACGGGGTGTTTATAGATTAAAAAAAGATCGCCAACATTATTGCGTTACCTTCCATCTCTATTGTATTAAAATTAATTATTTAGTGTTCTGTCTGACGACAGGTCCATATGAACAGGATCCTTCCATCCTTTTCTCTTCTCGGACTGGGACCTGTTCATATACGTTCTTGGCAGATGATCCAGAAGTGGTTTGCCATTGCCTTCTTCTGTGTGTGAATGGAGTAATTGTTGGGATGCCACGGAGAAACCGGGGAAGCCCCCGGAGGAAAACTCCGTGTTGCCTAGACCACGGCCTTGCCCAACACAAGTTATAAATTCGGGCACCGCCGGCAATCGAACCCGAGACCCCAGGATTACAAGACCAGCGTTCTAACCGCTAGACCACCGTGGCGTGTTCTCTATTGTATATAAACAATAATGTAAAAATCCTGTGTTTTGTAGCTGTTACGTTGTAAATTGTTTAATGTTGACATAATTCCATTGAACACAGTTGTACTTGGAACCTTAGGTTTAACAATGTTCAGAAAAACTTGCCTAAAATGGGATTCAAGACACTGGGCTATATAAACCACGCAGGCAATATGGTAGCTGATTTTATTTTTACGCGACACAAAATATCAAATTAATTACTTGTGACTGTAAATGTGTTCCATGTCACATGTCCCATTGATGTTAGAACCTGAGTTGTTAAAGGGATAGTCGGTTCCATGAGTTTATACACGTACAGAATTTCCAGTACATTTGCTCGTACGTGCTTTGGAACGTACGCATTCAGCGCGCGACCAGATGGAAAGTTATATTTGCATGCGATCATCGACAGTTCATTGATCGATCGATGGACTGTGACAGTCGATAATGAGTATCGTACTGCTTTGTACTTGGCTCTGAGGTTAGGTTAGGTTTACTCACAACGGAAGACAATGTTTGACTACACGGTGCATTCCAACAATGTCAAAATCCTCTCATTTCTGGGCCCAATAATGCTCGTACTTCCACGTTATTATTACCATCTGCCCTCTGAGGTAAGTCTTACAGCTTTGCTATGTTTTTCGCAACGCATTGAATCCATTATTGT